TGTTGATCAAGTTTAATTCACATTCCAACATTTTCCAATTAATGTTTGCACTTCTATTAAATCAGAATATATGAACCTTATTTTTGTTATTGTGCACAAACAGACATTTAAATCTTGTCAGACACCATCAGCACACAAGCTCCATGAACCAGGACTGTTTTTGTCGTTTTATCCCTTTAAATTTCATACCAGGAAAATAGCACGTGTTGGTCCTTGGCAAGACAGTAACTTAGCCTTCTGACATCGCTATCAAACTTTATCTGAAGCACTCGTAGCCACTACTCTACCAAAACACCTCCAAATTATATTTTCTGAAGAGTAAGACATATGTTTTCATATTTATTTACAAAAATATCCATATGATCAATACAAATACTCTCTACAATCACAAAACATGAATTCATGAATTGAGTGCTTATTGTGTGTGCAACTTTGAGATAGGCATTTTCTGTCTTATCTAATTTAGTCTCCTAACAATTCAACATATAATAGTTGTTAAGATGTGGAAACCGAGTTATAATTGGGTAAGGAAACAAAATTGTAAGTTTTCTTTTTTTTCCAGCACTGGAGATTGAACCGGGGAATTCACACATGCGAGGGCAAGCTGTCTACCAATGAGTTACACCCCAACCCAAATTATTAAAAAAATAATTTGTAAAGCTTGCCCTATTTTTTGTTGTTGTTGTTGTTTTGTTTTTTTGTTTTTTGAGATAGGGTCTCACTTCGTAGTTGAGACTGACCTGGAACTCACTATGTAGCTGAGGCTGGTCTCAAACTCACAGTGATCCTCCTGCCTCAGCCTCCCTGAGCTGGGATTACAGGAGTGCGCCACCATACCTGGCAAGCTTGCCCTATATTATGCAGCTTAAATGGATAGATCAGTACTCAAATCTAGTTCTTTTTTTTTTTTAACCTGGGATAGAACTCAGGACCTTGTGCTTGTGAGGCAGTCACAGTGCCACTGAGCTGAATCCCCGACCTTCAAATCTAGTTCTTTATATCTCCAAAACCCATGTTCTTCACTATGCAATCTATTGGATTTTTGTGGACTATCTGCTTGGGATGAGTAGTCCATGTTTTTATATATCCAGACTAATAATGGGGTTCAAGACATGCTACCCAAAAATACACCTGTAGGAGCCTAAAATATGGCTCTTTGGCACAGGTTTAATACAGAGCTGGTTATTTTGACAAATTGTAGCCCCAGCAGAAGTTCAGCAAATGGGGATAGAAATTACCCTTTTGAAAGGGAAATTCAACCCTATAAAAGAAATTTCCACATACAGGGGGCTCTCTCCCTCTGTACCAGAGAAGGACAGAGTTAGCTCATTTTAGTTTTGCTCTCAAGACAGCACAGCACACTCGGGAGGCTGAGGCAGGAGAATCGCTGTGAGTTCGAGACCAACCTGGGCTACACAGTGAGTTTCAGAGCAGTCTGAACTACATAGTGAGACCCTGTGTCAAAAAAAAAAAAGACAGCACAGCAGCTGGGAACTTGGTAGAATACCCCATCCTCTCCCCAAAAGAAAAGGCTCCTTCCCAGACAGGACAAGGAATGTGCAGAGAATTTGTTGGCCTTGTTGGTGATGACACAAATCCCAGGTATGGACAACCCCCCAAATAAGTTCTTTCCCTCTGGACTCCAACACCAGATGACACGTGCTTTTCTGAAGTCTTTAGCTCAGTGCTTCCCAAAGCGTGTGGGGACACTTGGAAATGCCAGGAACATACACACCCAAAAAACCGAGGGATCCAATAAATTTACCCCTGGCTACCATAAATCCTTCACACGTGATACAGTTCATCAAAGGCCCAAGGAGCCCTCCATAACTTCTGAGACTCTTTTTACACGTAAATGCCTGATCTCATCCTCCTGAGCCAGCGTCTTAGGGAAATAGCTCTGTAAGACCAGGAGGTGGAAACACAGGTGAGTCAGGAGTTTGGCCCTACTTTCTCCTCTCCAGCCCAGGGGAGACTGAGGCTCTGCTGACTCTGGGTGATCCAACAACTTAGAGTAAATATGCAGATTGTTCGTGCAGTTCTTGGAAAACAAAAGTGCAGTATGGCAAGGTAGGGCTCACCTCCTGCCGCCCTGTGTGCTGACTGAGGTTCTGATAAGATGTCATTGCTTTAGCTAATGAAATCAGCTTTAGTTAATGAAAGTGTGTGTGTGTGTGTGTGTGTGTGTTTATAAAATGGAGTACTACTCAGCCATAAAGAATGAGAAACTAGAGACTTTATAGCTAAATGGATGTGCATTGAGGCGATACTCTTAAGTGAAATAAATAGGACACTTATGTGTAAATACCAAATAGTTTCTCTGGTGTGAGAAACTAAAAGTGTAAATAAGGACTAAGAGGTATAACAGATAATGTGAAATAGGAAGAAAAGGTGCAAAGTGGAAGGGGAAGCGGGAGGGGCGGGGGAAAGGAAAGAAGGGAATGGAATTAATACGAGAAGAAAAAATGGAGACACAGTCTTTGTAGATAGGGAGGGGTGGAGGGGTTGAAGGGAGGGCAGGGGAATGGGGAAAAATAAGAAGTGAGACGATGAATGTCATTACATTGTATACCTTACAGGTACCAATAAAGTTAATTAATTTAAAACAGTGTGTGAAGCCTGATGTTGTCACGTGAACTTCATAAATAAAAGAAAAGTGAAAGAAAACAGAGCAGCGCACTTGAGGTCGTGTACTGCTGTGGGTACCGCCAGCCTTGGGAGCACAGAGCCTTGGGGCAGATGGGATGGCTAACGTTAGTTGCCACCTCGACTGGGTTGGGAAACGCCTAGACAGCGGGTAAGGTACACTTCCGGTGTGTCTGTGCAGTGTTTCTGGAGAGGACTCGCAAGAGGGTCAGTGACCTGAGGAGGGAAGACCAGCCCTGAAGGTGGGGAGCACCATCCAACAGGCTGGGGCCCCGTGGCACAGAAAGTGGAAGACAGGGAGCTTACACATGTGGCCGGCACAACTTTCAGTGTGTGCATTTCTTGCTGCTGTCATCTCCTGGGGTCATCACACTCCAGATTCTTCAGACTTGGAAAACAGAATCGCACCTGAGAGTCTCCAGGGAGCATCCAGGCCTTCCGCCTGGGCTTGGGGCTGCATTCCAATCCCTTCCTGGAATGATTTGTACATTCTACTGGTTCTGCTCCCTTAAAGAACCATGGCTTAATCCACCGGAGCATGGAGAATGCTGGAACTCTGAAGTAAGAGGTGTCCCCACAGCAATAGTAGGCATGTTCGAGGCCGGTCCCAAGCAGAAACTCCTCATCAGCATTATCAGAAGGGTAATGATAATTAGCGCTCATCAGGCTGCTGATAATAACTGACACTGACACTAACTGTGTTCTGGTGTTGCTAGGTGGTACCCACTGTTACAAAGCACCTGTCGTATGTTTTCAAACATTCCTCAAAAGAATGAGGGGCATATTATTCCCATCCTTTTGCATGCATGAATGAATAATGTGGCCAGTCACATGGCTTGTAAGGGACAGAGTCCAAATCTAAACTCAGACACCCTGACTACACAGGCCACAGCAAAAGGTTTGGTGCAGTTAGAATGCTATGCAAATGTCATCCTCGCAGTGAATCAAGAATCAGGGAATCTGCACCAGACTCCCCTCTCCAGTTTGGTTGGTTTCCTTTAGGCGGAGAGATTTCTCCAATTATGTAAAACCTATTTGAGGACTGTTTTCTTATTCATCCCATGGGGAGGGCCTACTATCTTTGCACGTTGTAATTGTCACATATTTTGTCTTTTCAAAGCTGTTTCCTTTTCCGTGCTTGTCTTCAGGGAATTCTTAGCACAGTTGGACCCCAAGCAGGCAGCCCACACCAGGCCCCCAGCTTCATCTTCCTACTCTGCACTCTAGTCTTAGGGCAGGGGGAGCGGCCACTGCTCTTAGAAAATGCTGGATCTGTTCCCCTTTGTCTTCGCACCTCCCTCCATGCCACCTCATTTTTACACAGGAGAATTTGTATATTCGCATCTGCCCCCTCAGACTTTCTCTAAAGTTCTGCATCCAAACATGACTTTTTCTTGTGGTTCTGAAGACTGAACCCAGCGTCTCAGACACAAGAGGGAAGTTTTGTATGCTGAACTGTACTCCCAGCGTTTGAGTAGGATCCTTTACTAATTACATGAGTAGCACAGAAATGAAGGTGGAGGAAAGTTCTACAAAGTTCTCTCTCAGGGATTAAATAATTGTCCATTAAATACTGGGGCCAGCAATGGCACTAGGCTTTGAAAGTAGATTGAAGAACAGGTGATTATAGGCAAAGCATTTAAAGCTTTCAAAGTCTGCCACATTTTCTCATGCTGGGTACCCTCTCTCACAACCCCATGGTCTTTCCGGACCTCTGTGAGTCTTGGCATCACGGGGCTCACAATTTCTGAATCTTTACGTTCAGCCCGAACCTGCCTCTTAGCCCCAGGCTTTACCTCCACCCGTCAGCCAGTCCCAGCGCACCCTGACCCCAGGATCCGGCTGCTTTCCACCCTCCTCAGTGGTTCTTCATCACCGTTCCCACAGAACACAACTCACGGTCCTCTAGTTCAAATTGTAAAAGCAGAGAACATTTCAGAAACAAACTGAGTGGGGGATTAGGGAGAAGACTTACTCTTCACTGTATACTCTGTATTTTAATTCAGCACAATAGCCAGATATTACCTATTCAAATGCACTCCATAGTCTCCATATTTGCAAGAGGTGGGTTACAAATTTAGTTCTGAGCCTCCAGACAGCCAACGAAAAGACATTTAAGTCACGTGTCCCTTAAGATAACACCACACCAGCTCCTGAGAACTAGCCCAGCTTTTCTTTGTTGTAAAACAACATCAAAAAGGAAGCTTGGGGAGCAGGGCAGGGGATTTAGCTCAGTGGTGCCACCACCTGCCTCGCAAAGCACAAGGACCCGAATTTGATCCCAGTACCAAAAAAAAAGTGGAGGGGCTTCCTGTGGCTCCTATGCAATAAATAATGGGCAGTGCTTCAATGTTCCCAAACAATTTCAGTCATGATTTTCAGAGATTCTCCCATCTCTTCAGAGAGTCCAAACCATGACTTGAAAGAGATTCATACAGCACCATCCCAGGGCCAACTGTCTCTGTGTGGATGTGAAGGCCCATGAAATTGGGCCACATAATATGGTCAGTAAAAACGAACCACTCCTCTTTCCATCATTAGAATTGCTGCTAATGAAACAGTACAACTCCAAGATAATTTCCCCACCTTTCCCCACAGGTAGAACTGATTCTTCCCTTGGCTAGAAGTTTGGAGAAGGTGGGGTCTAAGATCCTGTCAAGCATGAAGAGTCCACCGGTGCTGTTTCCCCTCACTTTGAAATGACTTCTCCAAGCCCCGACAAATCTCCATTTGTTAGGAGTTGTGAACTGAATACATTTAAGACCTGTCTCCTGCGTTGTTCATCAGGCTTTCCTGTAACCAGGAAGTTCCTTGAACGGGAATACAGGTGTGCTTAGCGGTGGTTTATAGGAAGCCCAAAGATCTAAATTCGTAGCTGGTGAGGCCTTTAAAAAAAGGACCTGGGACTTCTGAGTGCCAGTTTCAGGTCTATCAGCCGCCTTCTGTGCTTGATCAGACTGAGTAATTTCTTGCCCTGGATTTCCTTACATCAGAGGGGGAAAAGGTATCTCAGCCTGGGTGTGTACAAAGCCTTAGGAAGAATCAGAGGGTCAAACCCAGTAGACACACACACTGTGCATTTCACAACTGGGAAGTTCCTTTATTTAAAAGGAAGGGCGGAGGGAAAAAGAAAAGGAGGGAAAGGGGCAGAAGACAAGAACTCAGTGGGTCTTGTTGGCCAGGGAGACTGAGAAGAAGGCAACAACCTTTCCACCCAGGTGAACCCTGGAACTCACTGGGCCAGAACTCCCTCACCTGCCACCACTTCCCCGGGCACCTGAAAGGTAAGCGCAGCTCCCTCCTCTTAGCCAGACTGCAGAGAAACAGGAGAGGGAGCGGCCACGCAGTCTGGCCTGGAGTGTATGCAAACTAAATCAAACGTATTGTTCAAAATTTACCGTGGGTCATCTCTTCTTTTTCCTTATTCCTTTTCAATATCGAATGAAGGGCTGACCAGTAAGGTCAGACTCCCCTTATTAATGAGGCATTGCTGGGGCTCTATCTCATTAGGGGCACTCAGAACTGTGCATTTACTGCAATTTGCAGCACTTAATAGACAAAGGTCAGAGTGGGTCACGTTCAATTTCCACTTGGCAGAGGGAGGAAAAATGGAAGCAATTCATTTGCACAAATTTGAATAATTCTTCTCAGTCTCCTTTTCTTTATCTGCGTGTGGATAATTCCTGCATCTTACCTCACGCACAATCATTTCAGAACTGCCAACTGCCAGATTTCTATGGAGGCCGTAATGGGGCTGACAGATTCTATGAATCCAGGTGTCAAAATAAAGCCTCTGGCTTCTCCCCCACCCGCTTCTCACAACAGGGAATAGGAGTTGCCTCCAGTGAGCTCTTAAACTTATCATAAATGTATCAAGATTGCTGTGGGCCATGAAACAGCTGTAGACAATTAATCTTTCCACAATTCTTCGGCATAAGAATTGCTTTCCCCGAAAAGTAACATCTGCCGCGCGGAGGTGATTATTCACGGCCGATGGGCGCCCCCATAGTTTTATGCATAGAGCCATCAGTGGCAATGAAGCACGATTTATAGTTTTCCCTGGTTCAGTAAAAATAACATTTCAGCTGCATTAAAACATCATCCATCAGCTTTGTCCCAGAGCCCGGAGCCCCATCTCATACACAGAAATTAAAAAGTATTCATTTGAATGCTAACTTCTGAAGCTGGCGATGACATTGCTGCCCGTCTGGGGGTGGGTGAACCAGGGCGGAAGAAGGAGGAGAAAGGTCATGGGGTGAGCTGAGCTGAGCGTGGCATGTGGCAGCGTCCCTGTCACGGAAGGGCTGCGTCTTCCTTACTCATGACCCCCGGACACTTAATCAAAACTACTTGAATGAAACTGAGCAACTAAGGAAAGTTGTTTTACACAGAGCAGTGTAGTTCCTTGGCTTCAGGGGAAAGGTATCAGATAGATGCTTCTAAAACTTCAGAGAATGAGTCCATCCAGCCAGCACTGAGGTGAGCGCCATGTTCAAGTCCCAAGCAACGTGCAGAAGAGAATCCTACTTTTGGATGGCTTACAGGCCAGAGGGAAAGCCTATCAAAAAAAAAAAAAAAAAATTAAAACTCAGGGGCCAGTGATGTAATAAAAGCATAAATAAAGAGCTGTGACTGAGTAGGAAACTGCGAAGAGTAAAATAATGAAAATGTGAATGTAATGCAATTTAGAAAAATAGAGGGTACCTGAAGATCCGCTGCTTGAGGTATTAGTAGCTGTGCGGTCACACCTAAAACACCTTCTTAGTCAAGGTCATACAAAAGTTGGCTTAGAAAGTCATCTACAAAAAACTCTGAGTCCCAATGAAGTGGAGGGAAAGATCTGGGTTGGCCTTCGTCGGGCTCACGCGATGGGGCACCACCCGGAGTGAGGTTTTGCGAGGCGCAGAGCTGTGTAAAAGGCGCTCTCAGAGCCCATGTTTGTCCTTGGCATCCAAAAGTGAAAGCTAATCATTTTTCACTCCTTGGAGAGTCTCCTAATTTCACAGTCAATGAAACACAGATTTCACAGCTAGGCAAAAGTTGAATTTCGCAAAGGTCAAAGGGAAAGTTCAAGTGGCTGCGTCATTGAGTCACAGCAGAGCGAACCCACACGCAGCGAGGCACGGGTCCTTGGGTACATCCCCCGGCAGCAAGGCTCTCCGATAGCTTTACATCTTGCCTTTTTGCTTCTCTTTTCCAGTAAAAAAGTACTAATATTTTTCAAAATTGTTTGGAGACTTTGTGACATAATATATATATATTATGAATTTCTTCAATAAAGATATATTTAGGCCGGGCGTGGTGGGGCACACCTATAATCCTAGCACTCAGGAAGCTGAGGCAGGAGGATCGCTGTGAGTTCAAGACCAGCCTGAGCTACATAGTGAGTTCCAGGTCAGTCTCAACTACATAGTGAGACCCTGTCTCTAAAAACAAAATTTAAAAAAAACATATGTTTAGTCAAATTTAAGGTTTAGAGAGAGAGAAACCATTGTTTAATGTAACTTTGAAGCTTAGAAATACATGAGCTTACAGAGAAATATATTTTATATATTTATATGTAATATGAAGCAAATATATATTTTTACATTTAAGGTAAAATATTAAACTACATGCATATAGCTATGTGTACAAATATATAAACAACTCTATAAGGGAGAGCTCTCAATATTTATGCTCCATCAGATAGATATACACACTTGAATATGCATTGAATTGTCTCTTATCACACGATCTATCTATTCAGCCCTGGTGCAAAGTACATACACAGAAGCTCTATGAGGGAAAGATACAGGATTTTTTTTTTTTTCCCCAGTACTTGGGATCGAACTTGGGTCCTTGTGCTTGCAGGGCAGGTGGTGGAACCACTGAGCTAAATCCCCAACCCCACAGGACTTTCAACAAAAGCTGACACTACCATAAAATAATTCCAATGAAAAAGAAAAGTTCACTATAAAAGGAATATGCACTAACAAACCAGTTTTGAACTTCTTGTGTAATAGGTGAAAAAAAAATTCACAGAAGGACCTTTTCTAAGTGCACAAAGCTACAGGAATATTGTTTAGAGAGATAAAACTCAGACTGGATTAAGGAGTGAGAAAATACTTCGGAGAAAATACACCTCTGTGGCCAGGGTTCGTGTCTTAACCCACGCAACACAGGCAGGAGACAGCAGCCCTTATCTCTGTTTGTTTCCATCTTCTGTGTTCACAGCATTACTTTCACTCCAAAGAGTAAAATACCATGGTGGTTAAAAGGACTCAAAGCCCATGAAAGGTGGAAGACAACAAGAAATGGCCCAGTGGTTTTCACTAGCTGCACTTTCCAGGTCTTGGAAAGTCTCCAGTGATGCTCACACAATTAATACTGTCAACATCCTGAGAAATCAAAGGCAGGGAAGGTCCCCACAGATCAGACAGAGCAAACATCAGTATTTCCAAAAATAATGAAAAATGGATCAAAGAAGCACCTTATATTGAATCGCAGGGCAGTATGAGATGGTTTGTGAATGATGGAAATTGAAAATGGGGTTCCCTTGGATAAACTGGAGGAGCCCCATCTGCTTTGGGATTATATTACTGCAACTTGGGGACAACAGGTTTATTACATCTTGATTTCATCAGAGCATTTAATAAAATGCCTGAGAGCTTTGTGTTCAAGATAGAGAAATGTGGCCAGGTGTGGTGGAGCACGCCTGTAATCCCAGCACTAGGGAGACTGAGGCAGGAGGATCTCTGTGATTTCGAGATCAGCCTGGGCTACAGAATGAGTTCCAGGTCAGTGTCAACTACATAGTGAGACCCTGTCTCAAAAATTAAAAAAAAAAAAAAAAAACAAGATAGAGAAATGTGGGCTGAATTAACTAGAATGTGCAGGATTCATAGTGGGGTGAACAGTACTAATTAAGCAACAGAAGGAACAAGAACCATGTGCAAGCTGGTACACTGCACTGCAGTTACACAATTCTGTTTGTTCAGGAAAAGGGGTTTAGATCTCACACTTTTGTTGCCCAGACTGAGAAGAAAGGACTAGTACTGCACAGGGCTACAAGCCTGGCTACCTTCAAATGAGCTGAGAGCTGGCTCATGGGCCAGAAATCATAAAATAAAATGTAAAGCCTACATCTACATTCAATAAATTTCAAGCCCACAGGCCAACCTACAGCAAAAATGTGACCTAATAAAAGAAGTCCCACTAAACTCAAGAGTAGCACAAGTATCATTTACTGTTCAATGAAGTTCTAGGCTTCATTCTAGCCAATTTAATAATCATTATCCATAAACAAAAGATACTGGGAAAGATCAAAGATTGATCCAGGCAATATGATTAGACACTCAGAAAGTAGAAGAGAGTCAAATTTCAAACCCATTGTTAAAAGCTAATAAAACTAGTAAATACAAGATGGAGGGCCCAAAAAAACTTGCATACTTTTTAGTGTCTAGAAAACTACTTCAAAAATATAGTTTAAAAAATAAAACAATTTTGAAACTCCATCTACCCCAGTCAGAGTGGCTATCAATCAGGAATGCAAAAAATAATAAATGCTGGTGAGGGTGTAGGGAAAAGGAACCCTCTCATGCTGTGGGAATGTAAACTACTACACCCACTATGGAAATCAACATGGACATTCCTCAAAAAACTAAAAATAATAGTTCTGCTCAACCCAAGTATACCTGTTCTGGGACTATTCCCCCAAAGAATTAAGGACTTTGTGCTAACTATAGTGATATATGCATACCCATGTTTATAGAAGCACAATTCACAACTGTCAAGTTCTGGAAACAGTCTAGATCTCCATAACAGATAAATGAATAAATACAATATGCTATATATACATAATGGAATATTACTCAGCCATAAAGAAGAATTAAATAACATCATTTGCAAGAAAATGGATGGAACTCAAGACCATCAGGCTAATAAGCCAGACTCAGAAAGTTAAATATTTCATTCTGTCTCTTGCATAGAAACCTATAATATAAATAAATGAATGAATAAAATAAAGGGGTGGTGACAGAAAATAGAAGATAGGCTCTTAGATATACAGAAGAGAATTGAGTAAAAATGGAAAAAATATGTTAGAGACATGTACCAATTCCCCCAAAATGAATGAGACTATTTACTAACACTGACACGCACAAATTTAAAGAAATCTAATACATAGTTGTGAAAATAAAGAAAAATAGAATATCTAGGAATAACTTAAAAAGTGGCAAAAGCCACACAAAAAGTGTAAAGTTTTATCAATAGCCTTGTAAATATTTAAATAAAGAAATATGACAGTCCTAAAAATTTATGAAATTCTTTTTTTGTTTTGTTTTGATTTGGTTTTTGGTTTTTGGTTTTTGGGTTTTTTTGTACTGGGGATCAAACTCAGAACCTTGTGCTTACAAGGCAGGCAGTGGCACCACTGAGCCAAATCCCTGGCTATGAAATTCTAATTAAAATCTCAAACAGATTTTTTGGGGGGGTACCAGGGATTAAACTCAGGACCTTGTGCTTGTGAGGTAGGTGGCAGAACCACTTGGCTATATCCCTGGCCCGCAACAAGATTTTTTAAATTTACAAATTATTCTAAATTAATCTGGATGAATGAAGAAAGAGAAGAAGTGCTTTTTTTGGTGGGTGGGTGCTGGGGATTGAACTCCGGTCCTTGCACTTGCAAAGCAGCCGCCGAAACCACTGAGCTAAATCCCCACCCAGAAGTGCATTTTAGAAATAGACACCATGACAGAAAATCTGAAGAGACCAATAACAAGTAACAAGGTTGAATCACTATTAAAAAAAAAAAAAAAAAAAAAAAAAAAACTCCTGTCAGAAAAACCCAGGATCACATTGCTTCTGTGCTGTATCCTTCCAAACATTTATAGAAGAACTAATACCAGTTCGCCTTCAGTTATTCCAAAACACACTCTACAAGGCCAGCAGTACCCTTTTATCAAAACCAGATAAGGACATAAACAAACAAAACTACAGCCCAATATCCTTGATGAATATAAATGCAAAAAATCCTTCAAAATATCAAGCAAAATCCAATAGTATATCAAAAAGATTATTCACAATCAAGTGGGATTCATCCTGGGATGCAAGGATGGTTCAATGTATGCAAATCAGTAAATGGGATCCACCACATCAGCAGAATAAAGGACAAAAATCACAGTCATCTGCATAGATGCAGAGAAAGCATTCGATAAAATCTACATCCCTTCATGATGAAATGCTAAACAAATCAGGTAGAGAAAGAACATAATAAAGGTCATTTATAATAAGCAAGCAGCTAATGTTATACTGAATAGAGGAGAGGTGAACATTTTCTCTCTGAGATCTATCCTAGAATATGTATGCCCACTTTTACCACTTCTGACCAACACGGTGCTAGGAGTCCTAGCCAAAGCAATCAGACATGAGAAAGAAATAAGGGAATTCAACTTGGAAAAGAAGCCAACCTGTCACTATTTATAGATGGCATTACCTTTCAAAGAGAAAACCTCAAAACTCCACCAAGAAACTATTAGGGCTAGTAAATGAGTTCAGCAAAATTACAGGATATAAAATCAACTGTAAAAATCAGTAGTGTTGTTATATGCGAATAATGAGTATCTGAAAATGAAATCAAGAAAGTAATCCCAGGGCCAAGGATTTAGCTCAGTGATTCCATTCCATGCCTTGCAAGCACAAAGTCCTGAGTTCTATCCCCAGCACCAAAGAAAGAAAGAAAGAAATCCCATTTATAATGGCGACAAAAATATTAAATACCTGGGATTACTTTTAACCAAAGAGGTGAAAGATCTCTACAATGAAAATGATAAAATATTTATCAAATAAACTGAAGAGGACACAAAACAGTGGGAAAATTTTCATAAATGGATTAGAAGGATCAAATATTGTTAAAATATCCTTACTGCCTAATGTGATTTACAGATTCAATGCAATACCTATTAAAATACCAATGAAATTTTTCAGATCTTAAAATTTATATGGAACCACAAAAACCTGAATAGCCAAAGCCATCTCGAGAAAAGAGAAGCAGTCACTAACTGACTTTAGTGAGGCACTAATTTCAAAAATACTACAAATTTCTACTAATCCAACCAGTATGGTAACAGTGTAAAAATTGACATAAAGACCAGAGAACCAGAATAAAGAGCTTAGAAGTAAACCCATGCATCTACAGCCTTGCGCTTGTTTTATTTTGTTTTTGTTTTTGTTTTTTGAGACAGGGTCTCACTATGTAGTTGAGGCTGACCTGGAACTCGCTATGTAGCCCAAGCTGGTCTCAAACTCACAGTGATCCTCCTGCCTCAGCCTCCCGAGTGCTGGGATTACAGGCATGCACCACCATGTCCAGCTCAGCATTATGAGTTTGGACAGAGATGCTAAGAAAGACACTTTGGAGAATTGCATCCAAAAATGGTGAAGAGAAAATTGGATGACCACAGAAGATAAAACTAGAGCCCTATCTCTCCCCACTTACAAAAGCCAACTCATGGGAATCACTATTGAGGATCCTTGAAAAACTAAAAATAGAGCAACCATATAATCCAGCTACAGCATTCCTAGGTATACCCAAAAATAATTAAACAGCATAGAAAAATTAAACTCAGCATAGAAACACCTGCATCCCTATGTTTATTGCAGCATAATACACTCTAGCCAAGTTACAGAGTCAGGCTAGGTGCCTGTCAGTGACTGAATGGATAAAGAAAGAGTGGTGTAACAAAGGAGTGTTACTTACCACAAAAAGGAATGAAAGCATGTCATTTCTAGCAACACAGATGGAACTCGAAGCTATCGCATTGAGTGAAATAGGCCAGGTTCAGGAAAACAAGTGTCATGCTTTCTCATCTATGTAGAATCTAGGAGAAAAGACATGAAAGCAAAAGGGGAATATTAGACAAAAGGAAAAGGAGGGCCAGGGATTTAGCTTAGTGGTGCCACTGCCTGCCTCAAAAGCACAAGGACCTGAGTTCCATCCCCAGTACCAATAAAGAAAAAAGAAAAGGAAAAGAATCAGAGCCAAGAAAAGAGAGGGGAAAGGAGAGTGATGAAAGATGAGTATGCTCGAAGTCTGTTACATGCATGTACAAAAATGCCACGATGAAACTCAGTTGTCTACATAATTAATAGGAGCAAGGAAATATATATGTGGAACGACTCAGAATGGATTAAGATCTTGAATGTAAGACCTGAAATTATGAAAATACTATAAAAATATAGAGAAAATGCTTCAACACAATGAAATAGGCAAGGAGTTTTTTCAGGCAAGATACCAAAAGCAAAAATAGATAAATAGGATCCCATCCAATGAAAAAGCTTCTGAACAGCAAGGAAAACAATCTACAGAGTGAAGAGTCAACCTAGAGGACAGGAAAAAACATGTGTAATCTCTACCTCTGACAGAGAGCTGATATCCAGAATGTATTTGAAACTCCATAACTCAATACTAAATAAACAAATAACCCAATTTTTAACATGAGCAATAGGTCTTCTCTGAAGACCTACAAGTGGCCAAAAGGTACTGTATAAGAAAAAAGGTTCAACATCACTGATCAAGAAATTGCACAAAATCACAGAGCTATCACTTTGCCCCAGTAAGAAGAGCTATTATAAAAGACAACAGATGGGGGCCCTGATCCACCTGGGGAAGGAGAGCCATGCCCTCTCCCACCTGGAGCCACCATCTCTCCAGCACCAGGAAGGTAGCTGCACAGGCACCCCTAAACTCCCATAACTCCCCCCCACACTCTTGTGCACTCTCAGACCTCCTGATTGTGGCAGTCTTTGGACCCACTCTGCAGAGGCAAAGGTGGTCATAAAGGGTATTTTTCTGAGTTCCCAACTTTGAACATCTTTAAAGAAAGGACATGGGAAACCTGTAGTAGAATGGTGTGGAGTTCAACCGTTCAGAAGGTTGGGGAAGTCAATGTGGGCCTTGCAGCCCAAGGTCAGTCTGCATCATGGGGTTCAGCCATCAGCTAACTGAGATCAGGGGTCTTGAGTCCTAGCTCTGTCTGAGCCCCCATCTTAAATGGTAAATATACTATATTGAAAAGTTTGTTCACTGCAGACATGTTTTGGACTGCTTCTTGATTTCAATATAATTCAAATGGTTTAAGGGTGATAGACTACTGACTACCATAGGTGGTCAGTTTCCAAGATGTGCTTGATCTTAATGTGTTGCTGATTGTATCAGTTGGGATAAAGCATTGCAGTTGATTTGATGAGCTATTTTCTCTGATGTTATGAAGATGAGAATGTCTGTGGGTCGTTAGAGACCCAGAAGCTAGGGCACAATTGCATCAGGAAGATTTGCGTGATAACCCAGAGATTAAACCAAGGACAGTCCGACAAAAAAAATTAAAATGAGAAAACACTTAAGCAAGACACAAGGACAGACTTCCAGTTCACCAATGGCAAAGAGTAGGGCAAATGAGGATGAAAAGGCCAATAGTGAGCCACAAGGACACCCTGAACTCAAAGCACAGGAAGTAACAAAACAGATCAATCAGGCTGTAGAAAAATTCAAAACAGAAATAATTTCCCAGATAACCATAGAGATAGTGAGCAAAATGGAAGTCGTGATTTGAGCAGAAACTGACAAAAAAATAGATGAGCTCAGGACCATGATAGAAGCCATGAAGGCCCAGCATAAGAAAGAAATGGAAAAAATAAACACCCAACATAGGAAAGAAATGGAATCCATAAAACAGATTCAAACAGATATCCAGGAGATTAAACACTCCTTTGAAATTGCATGCAACAGAATAAAAGAATGTGAAGATAGACTCTCAGATATAGAAGATAAGATTGCAGTCAGTGACCATGAAAAGAGAGGTCTCTTAAAAACAGTAAGAGATCATGAGAAATCAATCCAACAACTCCTAGATGATGCAAAGAAGAATAACATAAGATTGATAGGAATCCATGAAGTAGCAGGAGAAAATACAAATGACTTAAAAAAGCTGTTTGCAGAATTAATGACAGAAAACTTCCCAAAAAGAGGGGAAGAATTTGACATTCAGATAACTGAGGCATATAGGACCCCAACTAGCCACAATCAAAAAAAATCTACACCTAGACATATAATAATTAAGATCAAGGAAACCCAACAGAAGAATAAAATACTACAAGCAGTAAGAGAAAAGAAACAAATCACATGCAAAGGAAAGCCCGTTAGAATCACAGCAGACTTTTCAACACAAACCCTTGGGGCAAGGAGAGCCTGGAATGAGATATTTCAAGTACTAAAAGAGAACAACCTCCAACCTAGACTGATGTATCCTGCAAGACTCTCCTTCAAAATGGATGGGGAAATAAGACACTTCCATGACAAAGAACACCTGAGAAACTACATGAATACCAAACCAGCACTACAAGGAATTCTAAACAAGATCCTAGAAAAAGACAATGAAGGCAACAACACCATGAGGCCCAACAGAGCAAATCAAATAGGCAAGGCAAGAAATTAAAAGGAGAAGGTGAAAAAGTAAAAGGAGTCAACAAAAGGCCATAACATGTCAATAATAAGTCAGTACATATCAGTTATAACCAGCAAGGTCAATGGCCTCAACTCACCAACCAAGAGAAATAGACTGGCAAAATGGAATAAGAAGCAAAATCCAACAATATGTTGTATACAAGAAACACACCTAGTGCAAAAAGAAGCCCATAGACTGAAAGTGAAAGGATGGAAAACAATTCTCCATGTGAGAGGAGCCCAGAAAAACGCAGGCATAGCAATCTCATTTGCAGACAAAGCAAATTTCAAACCAAAACTGATTATAGTATTATTGATGTAGGACGGTACTGTATCTTACATCTATGAATGTAAAATATCTTGTACCTGCTTTATGATACATAGTAGTGACCATGCTTTATCAGAGCTATATTTAATAATATTACTCTAGAATGTTCTCTTTCCAGATGATGATCAAGGTGGTAGTAAAAAAAAATGGTGGTGCCATGTACAGAACTGTGCTGTTTTCTGGATATTATCCTTTTCTTTGTTTTTTTGTTTTTGTTTTTTTAATGGAATGTGCTGAATGTCTATAATTTTGTTAGTGACTGCAGAACTGGAAAAGCTGTTGCTGCTGTTGATGCATAACATACTGCTATTATTGGTCTTTTTATATAAATATGTATAAACATATATATATAAATTGAATTTTGGGAAACTTTAATGCTACTACCAATTTTGGAAAAATTCATCCCAATTTACTGTGTTGAGTTGGCATTGTGCAGAAATGGACAGCCATATTTGTCTAGAAATGTTAATTTTTTTATTTTTATTTTTTATTTCTTTTTCCATTTGTATTAAATATGTAAGGTCATATCTACATGGGTTTGATTACAGAAACTAATAAAGTATTCTCTAAATAATGGAAAAAAAGAATAAGATAAGACTACAAGAGCAAGAAGCAATTTAAATATGTTCAGGGACCATTTTCATCTCCAGAATTAAGGATTATTTTAATGTTACATCATTGCCTTTTCTCTTTTATTTTCCTGTTTAGTTTTATTTTAGGATTCCCTATTTTTAATGTTCATACAGAGATTTATTTAACTGAAATACCGAATAGTTTCTCTGGTATGAAAAATTATAATAGTCCAGAGGATTCTAATGAGATAATTGATAATGTGAAATAGGAAGTAAAGGGCTAAAGGTGTAGGGAAAGTGGGAAGGGTGGGGAAAGGTAATAAGGGAAAGGGAAAAAATATGAGAAAATGGAAATAAAGTGTTTGTAAATGGGGAGGGGAGGAGGGGAGCGAAAGGAGGGCAGGGATAAGGGGAAAAAATGAGAACCAAGACCTGTCATGTAAAGGTACAGGATCCCAATGATGAATGTGACTGTTGTATCCCTAAAATGTACCAATAAACTCAATAAAAAGAAAAGACAGCAGATGGCAAGTTCCAGCCAAAATGGGGAGTGCAAGGAGGACCTGCATACCGTTTGTGGGAGCAGAAATGAGTTCAGCCACTGCAGAAAACAGTGTGGAGGCTCTCCGGAGCTACCATGTGAACCGCATCCCACTGCAAGGTTTGTATCCAAACAAAATGAAATCAGTAGGTCAAGCAGATACCTGCAACACTGTTTACAATATCCAGGACTCGGAAGAGACCTAATGCCCATCCACTGATGAGCGGATGAAGAAGGTGGTGCATCTTTGAATTGGGTCTTTATATTTGGGGGAGCTAATTGTTTTGAGTAGACATTTCTCAGATTTGACCCAGCCATCCCTCTGCTGGGTATCTTTCCAAAAGAATGAAAAGAATCATATCACAGAGATACATGTGCACCTATGTTTATAGTGGCACAGTTTGCACTAGCTAAAACACGGAAACAGCCCATTTGCCCATCAGTTGGAAAATGGATAAAGATTATGTGGTTTTTCTATAAAATGGAATACTACTCAGCCATAAAGAATGAGAAATTAGATTCATTCCTAGGAAAATTGATACATATTGAGGATATACTCCTAAGTGAAATAAATAAGTCACATGTGTGTCAATACTGAATAGTTTCTCTGGTGTGAGTAAACTATAATAGTACATAAGATCCTAATGATATAATGGACAATGTGAAATAGGAAGAAAGGGGCTGAAGGTGTAGGGAAAGTGGGAAGGGTAGAGGAAAGATAAAAGGGAAAAAATATATGAGAAAATGAAAAAATGGAAATAAATTGTTGTAAAGGGGGAGGGGAGGAGGGGTGAAGGGAGGGCAGGGAGAAGGGGAAAAAATGAGAACCAAGACCTGTCATGTAAAGGTACAAGATCCCAACAACGAATGTAACTGTATGCCTAAGATATACCAATAAACTCAATGAGGAAAAAAAAGGTAGTGCATATACACACTGGGATATTACTCAGGCTGTTGCTGGTGACTGAAGGGACAGAGCTAGAGATCACTGTGTTAAGGGAAAGGGGCCAGGCACAGAAGCCAAGACTTCAAGATCACACAAAAAGTTGATCTCATAGAAGCAGAGAGGAGTGGCAGCTTCCAGAGGCCAGCGAGAGGAGGGAGCAGGGAGAGAGGGGTGGGGAAAGGTTGGTCAGTAGGGACTAAGTCACAGCAAGAGAGAAGGAAGACGTTCTGGGTGTGCTGCTCATAGGTCACAAGGTCCTGGGAACTCCACGGAGCAAGAAGACAGGATTTCAATTTTCATGACAAAGAAATGAGAAAGGGTGGAGGAGCCAGATATGTTCATAAACATATGAACATCACGCCATCGATAGGTACAATTTTAAGTTTTATGTATCTGTTAAAAATAAGTTTTTAAAAGTACAACAAAAATAATAATAAGGACTTTGAAGAAGTAGTAATCCATCGATATTAAAATAATGTATAAAACTATAAGAAACAAACCAGGATGATTCTGAGTGGAGTACTGTTAGAGCAATTAAATATAATAAGACAGACACATGTTGAGGACTACTTCAAGAACTAAGGTCAGCTTTTCAAATAAATAAAGAGTACCGCTAAGAGTTTGTCAATTGCTTTTTCCAAAATACTCCAGATGAATTTATATTTTCACACAAAGAAATTCCAGGATAACCAGGCGTGGTGATGCATGCTTATCATCTTAGCACCATTGGAGGCTGAAGCAGAAGGGTCGCAAGTTGAAGCCCAGCTTGGGCAATTTAGAGGCTTAGCAAGACCCAGCCTCAAAAGGAAAAAAAAAAAAATAGAAAAGGACCAGAAACGTAGCTCAGTGTGAAGACCTCAGGCTTAATACAGAGACAGAGAGGGGAGGGTGGGGGGAGAGAATTCAATAGTTAGATCAAATCTCAGCAGTTAAAGAAAACATAAATATCTAATTTCTGAATGAATGAAGATCTTCTAAGAATGAAGATAGAGACACATAAAGGAAAACACAGTTGAAATCAAAAATAATATAAAACATGTTTTATAACATCTTTGTAACATAAAATTAGAATCTATGAAAAAATAAAATAAAAAAGTAAACATGAATCTGAGAGAAATATTTGGAGTAAATATTAGAGACAATATGTAAATGTCCATGAAAAGTAAAAAGTTCACAGTGAATTGATTAAAAATTAAAGAGCATACTAAATGAATAAATATTAATAGATAATTTGTAAAAAATAGATGAATTTATACAGCAAAAATTTGAAAAACCTTTAATAATGAAAAACCACAATGATACAATATCATTTTGCCTGGTTTAACAATTATTTTAAAATAAGAAAATCTACTATTATGGAAGTGCAGTGAAATGTTACTTCACACAACACTAGTAAAATATAAATTGGTGTGGTGTTTCTAGAGAGAAATTTGGTGTTTTGAATGAAGAACCCGGAATATATTCCTGCTCTTTGGTCCAGTAATTCCACTTTGAGGATAAATCATAAGAACATAATCCAAATTGCAGGGAATTCGTTTTTGCAAAAAGTGTAAAGTATGAAAATATTTACTTAAGCCAGGAATGGTGGCACACATCTGTAGTCCCAGCATTTGGGAGGCTGAGGCAGGAGGATCACTGCATGTTCAAGGCCAGCCTGGGCTACATAGTAAATTCAAGGCCAGCCTGAATTTAAGACCTAATAAGACCTGTCTCAAAAAAATTCTAATAGCCAGGCATGGTGGTACACACCTGTAATTCTAGCACTCAGGAGGCTGAGGCAGGAGGATCGCTGTGAATTTGAGACCAGCCGGGGCTACATAGTGAGTTCCAGGTCAGTCTCAACTATATAGTGAGACCCTGTCTCAAAAAACAAAAAAAAAAAAAAAAAAAAAAAAAAAAAAAAAAAAAAAACAACAACAAAACAAAAACCAAAACAATCTAATGATTTTAATACAGTGTTTGAATATTTAATAAAAGGGGAATATCAACTGCTCACTGGAATAGATTTGCACAGGTTTCAGTGAGAGTATAAATGCACCAATGCCGCAGACTTGGTTCTCTGCCGATTCCATGTGGTGAATCCCTAACCCCAAGGCCTCAAGTGTGGCTATGCTGGAGATGGGGCTGCAAAGAGGTCATTAATGGGGGCGCCTATGTAGCTCAGTGGTTCTGCTGCCTGCCTCACAAGCACAAAATCCCAAGTTCCACCCCCGGTAACAAAACAAAACAAAACACAAAAAAGAGGTCATTAAGTGAAATGTGGCCATTCAGGTGCCCTAAGCCAGTCTGAATGGTGTCCTTGTCCAAGGAGACTGAGGCACAGAGAGAGACTCAGGCACACATGCACTCAAGATGGCACAGGACAGGCGACAAGCAGACCGCTACCGGCATGGAGAGAGGACAGAGAAGAAACCAGCCCAGCTAGCACCGGATCGGGGATTCTCGGCCACCATCTAATGTCTCCACCGATGATATCAGGTCTTCCCGTGAGCAGGGAGGTCCACCCACACCAGGGAGGCCTTCTGGTGCATTGAGTCTACAGACTAATAATGCCATCAAAAACATCCTTACCTCAAAGAGCTGGGACTAGCGGTTCCATTTGACCCAGCCATCCCTCTGCTGGGTATCTTTCCAAAAGAATTAAAAGAATCATATCACAGAGATACATGTGCACCTATGTTTATAGCGGCATAGTTATGTAATAACTAAAACTTGGAAACAGCCCATTTGCCCATCAGTTGGAAACTGGATAAAGAAGATGTGGTTTTTCTATAAAATGGAATATTACTCAGCCATAAAGAATGAGAAATTAGATTCATTCATAGGAAAATGGATAAATATTGAGGATATACTCCTAAGTGAAATAAATAAGTCACACGTGTGTCAATACTGAATATTTTCTCTGGTGTGAAAAACTATAATAGTACATAAGATCCTAATGATATAATGGACAATGTGAAATAGGAAGAAAGGGGCTAAAGGTGTAGGGGAAGTGGGAAGGGTAGAGGAAAGCTAATAAGGGAAAAGAAAAAATATGAGAAAATGAAAAAATGGAAATAAAATGGAAATGTTTGTAAATAGGGAAGGGAGGAGGGGGTGAAGGGAGGGCAGGGACAAGGGGAAAAAATCAGAACCAAGACCTGTCATGCAAAGGTACAAGATCCCAATGATGAATGTAACTGTACTGGATACCTAAAATGTACCAATAAACTCAATGAGAGAGGAAAAAAAGAAAAAGAAAAACATCCTCATGTAAGCACTCTGAATAATGTTCGACCAGACACCTGGGATGCTATGGCCCAGTGAGTTGACACATAAAATATAACTATCCCAACATGAGCATTTGGATCAATAACTTACACAGTCCTTTTGTCAACGAGTCTGAGGACATGAGGTCTACCAGCATGGGCAAGATCATTTCCGAGTCCCCAAAGTGCTTCTGTTTCCAGAAAATTTGAGGCTAGTAATTCATTTTGTGCATTTATATACAAAGTCATGGAATCTGTGATGCATGGGAAACAAAGAAGAGTGCAGTCACACACACAAAAAAAACTCAAAAATGTTGGTACATTTTTTAAATTAATTTATTGAAATTAGCTTTTCTTCTTACTACCTTTTTTTTTTTTGGTGGGGCAGTCTTGCTACTGTAGCCCAGGGTGGCCTTGAACTCATGGCAACCCTCCTGCCTCAGCCTCCCAAATGCTAGGATTACAGGTGTGTGCCACCACACCTGGCTGCTGCTTTTCTTGCTGTATCAATTTTTATTAAAAACGAAAATGTAACAGCAACCAGGCATGACATGACAATTAGACAAACGGAGAATGAGCACATGGCATTTATTGAACTCATTAATGACTTACCCAGCGGGATGATAAAACTGTTTTAAAGGATTTCTACAAGAGACAGAAAGAAACTTTCTGGAATAAACTAAATTCGATACCACAATGGAACAAGAGACCCACAATGGAACAAGAGACCCACAAGCTACTGCTAAATAAATATGTGCACACCTCCCAAATAACATTCTTGTTCTACCAACTAGGAATCATCTGTATCTCTATTCATTTCTTACAAGTTAATATTTACCCTCTCAGAGTAAAAATATCCTGCTCAACATAAATAGAAGTTTTTTTTTTTAATCCCTATTATTGGAGATGTAGATAATCCTGTTAGATGCTTCGATATTGAAAAGACATGCAGACAGTCGTCTTTTTGCCCATGTACAAGTTTTGAAGGTGTTTTCTTAGAGTCCAGTGTGGCGGCACAGGCCTGTAATTCCAGCACCCTGGGAGGCTGAGGCAGAAAGATTGCAAGTTCAAGCCTAGCCTGGTAAGCTAACCAACTTAGTGAGACTCTGTCTCAAAATAAAAAATAAAGAAGGAAAGTTCAGTGTGAAGGCCCAGGTACCGAAAGAGAGAGAGTGGGGTGGGGGAGAAAAGAAAGGAAGGGAGGG